AGAAGTAACATCGACATCGCACGCTCATCGTTTTCGCGCATTCGGTGACACGGTTGTCATAAGCGCGCCTTCGTAGAAATTGTTCGCTCTTCGTCGAAGCGACGGCTTACGATTACAAAGTCCGTCCGTTTTACAAATTTCGTCCGTCGTTCCTCGCCTTGTTCCTTCGAAAATTCTCTCTCTCACTCTTTGCTGCGCGATAATTTCCCGCCGATGGACGTACAAACAACCGCCGAAACAAAACGTTGCCTTAAACGATTCACGCGGATCCGACGAAGCGCAGTGTCGGAGAGACCGATCGCCGGTGGCTTTGGCTCGTTCTCGGACACAAAATTGGCCTCGCGTTTGTTCCTGTAAGACGCGTTCGAGCGTCTTTCTTTCGGAGACAAGCGAACCAGGAGAATGGAAAACCTGGTAAAACGAGTCACGCCCGAAAACAAGCCAAATGCCTCGGCTGATCGTCGAAACAGACGGTTCGCCGACGTAAGAAACGGCGAGCGATGCTCTAAACGCGTCGAACACGAATCGGGAACAAAAGGCAGCCATCGATACGGGAATATCGATAGAGAAGAGCGCCGGGATTCGGCGAGCGCGCGGACGCCGATCGTTGCGAAAACGAGGAAGATGATCCGGCCGATTGTCGGCGGACACCGGCGGTTCGGAAATTAATAGAAAAGGGAAATAGCGGGCGACTTTATCGGCGAGACTGTCGCAGCAGCAGCAGGTCGGCAGAGAAAACCGCTCCGCGTAGATTTATTTATTTCCCTTGCGAAGGCAAGGCGGCAGCCTCTTCTGCGACGGCTGTTTCCGGGGGAAAAAATACTATTTCGCGGGGGTCTCGGCGGCATCGAGCTGCTGATAAACCGCTGTTCCCTGGCTGTCTGGCCTCTTCCGCCTCCAGTGTCACGTGTTACCGTGCGCGATCCCGCGTGGCAGCACGGAAAAAAAAGGAGAACATTATCAAACGAACGTTGCGAGTGAATCGTTAGCGCGCCGGGGATCACGGGAACGCGTCGCTTCGTCGTTCCGACAGCGTGGCAAGCAAACGCTCTGCTTGTCGCCGGGTTTCTCCCGTCCAATGTTATCGGTTCCTTTTTTTCGCTCGGGGTACGTCTTTCTCTTTTTTTTTACGTTTATTCCGCGTTTTCTTTTTCTCTCGAAATGTACAAACTTACAAATTGGAGGAGTCGGGGCAGGAGGAGCGGGAGGGAAGGTGGCGGGAAGATCTCGGTGTTACAAAAAGGGCGTTGGGAGGGGGAGAGTTACGCTAATTAGTCGGACCGCTTGGCAATTACATCACTGTACACGACGAATAGAAAAAACGCGCGAGCGCTCGATAATGGCTCCGATATGTGTGATCCTTCTGTTAACATGTAACAAGATATTTTCTATAGTAACGTTTTTATCGATCATCGCCCGAGCCGATTTCATTTTTTCGCTTTTTTTTTCTTTATTTAGACAATTTGATCCCAGAACACATGGCAATAGTTTCTTCTTCTTCTTCATCTTCTTCATCTTGTTTTTTTTTTGTTATAAACGTATAGCTTTTTCTCGTCTCTTTTTTTGTCGGTTTTTAGTTTCCGTACGAATTTCTGTTATATGTATATAAATGTACAGACACCGTCGGTGGTGGCTTTTCGAGAGTCCACTCTTCTTCTTCTTCTTCTTCTTCTCCTTTTGTTTTTTGTCTCTTTTTCCCCCCCGCGGTTGGCTTACCGACTATCGTAACCTTTCCGCGTTCCTCGAGACCGGAACCGCCGACGTAAAATCGATCGCGCGGACCGTCGCCGTTCCGGCGAAATGATCGTGGGCGAAGGGGGGATGGCTCGCGGAAACGAGAGAGAAAATTCAGCATCTTTGGCGATTCGGGCTGGAAGAGAAATCAATGGACACGCTGCGATCCCGAGACTGTTCCGCCAGAAAACGCGAACACGCGCTGCCCCGTGGAAGCTCAAAATGTTTCGCCGCGATCGAACCGGCGACGCGACCCGCGCGGCTCGCACGAGCGACCGGCAATTTACTAATGCGAGCGGCCGCTCATTGCCTGTGACTTCACATATTAAACGAGCATTCGTAATCCGCCGAGCTGAGATTTCGTCACGTACCTGTTGCCGAGAGAGATTAATCGGGGATAATAAAATCTCTGATGCAGATCTCTCGCGAGCGCCGCGCAACTTTACCAATAACAACAGGTTTCTTATGAATCATCATCATCCTCTATCGGCGTCGCCATCGAAAAACATTCGACGAAATAAACGTGTCGCGAGCATTTCTCGTTCAATATTTTATAATTGTTCTGATTTCATGCGACGAGAAGCGCGGTAATTTCTCTCCCTAGAAATGTCCGGAGGTCGGAATTTGAAACCGGCGGATCCGAGGATACAGTAAATTCTACCTAATTAACGATCATATTGCGCGCAAAAGTGGGCAATTTGCGAAGATTGGATGCGATTATTCGAGCCTCGCGACTCGTTTTTATAGTTATCGACGCTCGGCGACCGTAAAAATCGAGCCGCGGGGCTCGAACGATCGGCGAGTCTCTTTTCTCGAATTGTCCATGTTCGTTTACAAGTTGAAGGACAATCGTGGAGAATTTACTGCACCGGTTATATTAAGCTCGGCAGTCTTTCAAGTTCCATCCGGGTCTCGCTTCTCGCAGCGTATTTTGCGCACGAGGCTAATAAGGCCCGAACAGACTTCGGGCTTCGAGTGGCTTCAGCCAAGGTCTGCTTTTGTAAACGTTTGCAGAGATTCGTATACCTGCAGCGTGTATATACTATACACGCGCAAACATTATCTTGCTTAAGTTGGCTCTCGAGTGCCAGTGCTCGAGCAAGTTTGAGTTTCAAGACGCTTCAACTATCCGCCGAGATACTGCCGGCTCAAAATGGCGTCCGACCGTGACGCCTCGGCGATGATTCCGTCGGTCATTATTTTTGTTTACAGAACCGATAACACGCGATCGATCGATCGACGAGATTTCCTTCGCGAAGAATTAAAGCGATCTCGCGACTACGGTAATGTCTCCCTAACTGACGCTCAGATTGTGCATAAAAATGACAATTTGGGACAATTTGGGAACAGGAGATACGATTATTCGAGCTTCGCGGCTAGCTTTTATAGTTCTTGACAATCGATAACCATAAATAAACGAGGCCACAAGGCTCGAATATTCGTATCTCCTCCTTCCAAATTGTCTATTTTTGTGGACGATCCGAGCGTCAATTGGAGAGACATTGCTGTGTCTATTTTCAAAATATCGACAACCCATCGACGAAAAGATCGTTCGATTACAGTTGGGACGAACGACGTTGCTCGTTCCTTTTTTTTCGAGAAAATCAATTTAGCGGAGCAATATATTGTTTTAAAAACAGTTTGGTCCAGGTTAAATTGAATTTCAACTGTTCGGCACGATATTTGGAAGCACATTCTTTTCTATAGAAACGAGTAGACAACGAACGCGAGTCAAGGAAACACAAAACAGAGTACAAATAGCAGACTTCGCCGATATCGTCGTATTTTATTCTGATCTAATAATCATTAATCGTTAATCGCTGAAGATCATATCCGAGCAGCTCTTACGAAATCTCGTAATTCCGACGTATCGAAGGACGTATCGGACGATGTCAAGTGTCGAACGTGGTCTTCATTTTCCTCGATCGACGAGAGTCTATCCAACGCGTCTCGAAGCGTTGGGAGACTTTTTTCACAGATCGACACGTGTACTCTGATCTTTCCGGTGATCGGATTGCTATCGTAGCACGATCTACGTTCGGAACAACGAAGCCGAAGCCACTCGCTAGCACGCCATTGGTGTTTATAAATACAGAATCTGCACGCGGTCTCTAGAAACACGAGGTAATTAAACTCTCCGGTAAACTTTTTACTCGACCGGAATCGCTCGACCGACCGTTCCTATTATAATCGCGGGAACAAACGACAACGCGTTTATTACCGCGTGTACACCGCGCGCCGCGAACAAATCGCATTTATCGTAATGCGATATAGGAATTGGTTAATTTTCAAACCGTACTCGTTGGCGCTATTTAAAGCCGATATTGCTCCCTCAGCAACCGCATAACGCGCGCTTTATTGCAAATGTAATACAAGAGACTATTCAATTAATTCGCCGACCGTGTTTATTCCCGGCGGGGAGGCGCGGGGATTCGCGACCCTTTGGTACAAGCGTGGCGGGAACGATGGAACTTAAAAACGGAAAAAGAAAGAATATAATCGCAGAATCAAGTGGCAGACACGTGGATCCAAGATCATCATTCCGAGTCCCCGAAACTATTAAAATCTCAAATTCCCTGTCGACGGTTTCGAAATTCCCTGCGGCGGCCCGCAACGCGCGTATTCGCCCTTAAAAAAAGAAGAAGAAAACCTAAACAGTCAACGACTAGAAACAGTCCTGGTCACGCGACGCGAGCACGAAAAATCGCTGCTAATTAATAAATAAGCCTACGAACGTGCGAACGACTCGAAGGATCGACGTCGAAGGAGATCGACGGAGATCGTCGCGATCCTGAAGCTTCGCGAGCGATCGAAACGCCGGTTAGATCACGGCTGGCGAGACGCGGGTGTCTTCTGGCGGAGCTGATCCAATCGCGGCGGGATCGTCGACTACGATCGTCGAAACGTCAAAAGTTTAAACGACAATTAAAGCTTGTTCGGGAGTCGGGCGCGGTGGGATCGGGGGGTTGGGGGGTTGGCTGGCTGGCTTACGCAAGATTAAATTAAGGATAGTTTTCTTTTTTGCACACTTCGTAAAAATACATGGCCGTACCGAGCGTATGCGACTCGGATGCGGGGATCATCGCGACTGATCGTCCAGACGGGGGGCGGAGAGAGGGTGGAAGGGACGAGGGGCGGAGGCGAGCGAACTTCGGGAAGGGTTAAAGAAGCTCTTCGTTCTCGTCCGAGACACCGTACATCTGGGGCCGTCGTTCCTGGGGCTGTTGTTCCCGCTGTCTCTGCGCCTGTTGCTTTTGCAGGAGCGCGATGCTGGCGGCTTTGTAGTTGATCGGCCCGTAGGATCGGTAGTCCACGTCGGCGTAGTCAAGATCCGAAAATTCCGGCTTGAAGGGCTGCGTAAACAGAACATCAGAACGAATGCCGTTTAGTCGGGGCTGTCCTCGAATTTTTTGGCGGGGGTTGGCGCAGGCATGGCCGGCGAGGGGACGGTTTACGCCGAGCGGAATTCGTGGCCGGGGGTTGCTGTGGCCGGCCGGGCGCTGTCTTTAAAAGCCTCGGGAGGAAAAACGTTCCGGCGGGAACGCCGGGGCGATATTCGACGTTCAACGTGGCAAAGAAGAAGAAGACAGGCCCGGCATTCTTCGCCGGACTGTTCGCCGACGTACGTATTTTACGCGAGCTTTCCTTCGGCTGCACTCGACGAACATTCCTCCGGATTCTTTTTTTTCTTTCTTTTTTTGCGGTACTCGTACACGCTTGTTAATTACGGCTCCGTCCGCACGGTTCGGCCGAGAATAACGAGGCGACTGGTCGCGCGACACGTTCGCGCGCGATTCTTTCGCCAGGGGGTGGTGCGATAATTTCTGATCGCAGGGGAAAGTTGCCAAATGCCCGGCTATTGTGATTCGATCGCTGTTTACAAGCTCTTTGCGACGTGCAGCGATTAATTGAATATTAATTGATAGAATAGGTATTGATTATTCCTAATTATTAGGAAAATAGAGTACCGCTTAGGTGTTAATTAGTCCTAATTATTGGGATAATAGAATACCACCCAGGTATTAATTATTCCTAATTATTGGGATGAGAGAATACCTCTCGGATATTAATTATTCCTAATTATTCGGACAGTAGAATACCTCTCGGATATTAATTATTCCTAATTATTGGGACAATAGAATACCTCTTATATAAGTATTAATTATTCCCAATTATTGGGACAATAGAATACCTCCCGGATATTAATTATTCCTAATTATTAGAGTAATAGAATACCTCTTAGGTATTAATTATTACTAATTATTAGGATGTTAGAATATATCTCCTAGGTATTAATTATTCCTAATTATTAAGATAGTAGAATACCTCCCAGGTATTAATTATTCCTAATTATTAGGATAATAAAATACCTCCTAGGTATTCTATTAATAGAATATTAATTTATCTTTCTCTATGAATAGAAAATTAATAGCTGTTCTATTAATAGAATAACTCTTGCGACGCCTAAAGTAGGGGGGTGGGCGTTTACTGCGGGGTGATCAATTGCTGTGCCTCTGGTTCGTTTTCGGGTGTAATTAACTTCATATTTACAGAAAAAGACGAATTAAACGTTCTCCCGTTTTGTTTATTTTTAATAAAACAGTTTAATACGTTTCATTCAATAAATACAAAGTGAACGATGCCCGAAAACGAGCCAAAGGCACGGCAATTATTGTATTTTCTTTTCATTTTTTCATTTTTCCATAAAACAATTTAATATACGGGGTGTCTCCGACTGCTACGTACAAGCGGGAATCGGGTGATTGTTTTCTCGTTCCGGGGACTCGGTTTTCGAGAGAAACGAGTTTTGAAAATTCTGAAAAATTGCTTTCTACGTACAGATCTAAATGTCGGGAATAAAATACGATTTGAGAGGACAGATCGGCACGATTTATGGTATCGGTTTGCCAAAATCGCTTTTTTTTTTTGTAACGATTGTAACTTGTATAAATTGTTGATCGGCGCTACATTGGCAACCTGCCCCTATGAACGTTTATAAATGCGGAACGATCGCATTTCGAGCAGCCAAAGTTGACGTTTCTGCGCGCGCGGAATTGCAAGGGACAGATTTTGCGGAGCGTTGTATCGAATTGATGTCGAATTAAAACAGAGGGTTCATGTTGCCGTCTCGATATCCCGAGGTGAAATTATCGGGGTAGAGAGAATTAAAATTATTACGGGCTTCGGGCACAAGCCCCGTCCGACCGGAGAATTATTTAGACACTTTTTCAACGCTGCAGCAGCTGTCGCCGACAGGTATGCGTAATCTCAAAACGTTCCTGAAGCAACCGTATCGATTTAACTGCATCGGCTAGGCAAAACATTAATTTATTATATGTACATTTAATATATAATTAATATATACTATATACAATAATTAATATATAACTACAAAACGTTAATTAAAATCGGTGTGTTAATCAAAATCGTAGCAACGTTGAAGATACTCGAAACTGACCGACACGATTCGAAAAGCAAAATGATAAGAGATATGATAAACATAAAATAAGAACATGGAATTATTTTTGGAAAAAATTTACGGCAAAATCACCGAACCGCGGATTTGCTGTTACTTTAATCTCGTATTTCTCTCCTTTCGTTTCACTTCCGAGCTTATACGTACTTATGAATATAATATAAATGTCGGTAAATACAATAAGTTAATAACGTAACAGAAACAATTGTTAACAATCGAGCATGCGAGACAAATAGCGCGGCGATTCAAGCGTTTGAAAGACAAAAGAAATAACGCGACCTGCAACAGGATTTACCGGATTCTTTTTCTGTTTTCTTTGTTTTTTTTTGCCGTTGCCGCGCGACTACGCTATTAAATTGCTAAGAAATCTATTCCCGTCGTTTTTCGGGTCTCGCCTGGCCGTGTCCAGTTTTAAGCTACCGATTAGAGATGGTATACGCGGACAGTATCTTCTGGTACAGCTCTCTCGCGTATAAATGCGCTCCTTTATCGGCCGGGATTAATTCGATGCAACGCGAACGGATTCCTATTTGCACCGCACACAACCGACACTCCGCGAATACGCACCACGGAAAAAGAAACAGAAAAGAATGCATACACGCGTATCGAAGTTTATTTACGCGGTTTATAGCTGTCCATAAAAGAAACGGGATTAAGAAGTGTGCACTTGGACGGTGCGGTTCCGCGAAGTCGCTCTTTCCGGGAACCTCGAATGCACAGCTACCTCCTATTGTCTCCTGTTTATCGTTCCGCGCAATTTTTGCGCGATTTTTAGACCATCGTTTTATCAATTTCTGCGACAGAGTAGTCGTATACTTGATCTATTTTGTAATTGGACGGAGGATACAGTAATTTCTCTCTAGAATGCCAAATTTCGGGTTGCTGTGAATTGCGCTGTGCCAGCGCTACGTCTATGTAATTTATTGCTACGCCGATGCTATGTCGATGTTGTGCTACGTCGAATCGTGTCGTGTGCCCTCCGAATTGCCTTCGAATCGTGTCTTGTGTCCTTCGAATTGCCTTCGAATCGTGGCAGAAAATTCTAAATAAAAAAAGTTAAGAAACCTCCGAACAGTTTTGGAAGAAATTACTATATTTCGGAAGATTGAAATCGTTAAAGATTAACAGGCTTTCTCGAGGCAATCTTTTCTTTTTATAAATCACACGATGGAGAAATATGTTTGTCGTCGACGAACATAAGTTGCAGCTGCGTGTCGCGAAAAATGCAAAAAATGGATCTATCTTGATTATCGATTCTTTAGAGAAATAATTACGCTATGTATTTTATTTTTTCCATAATAATTGTACTATATATATAAAATAATATTAATTCGAATATATATTCTATAAAAATATTAATTTCTAAACACGCCCTACGAAACAATTATTCCAATGAATAATTCCAGTTCATATATTATGCAATATAAACAGATATTTTAAGAGATATCATTCTGCTTAACCAGTCAGCTGTTGCAATCTCTTCGAAAAATGTACGCGTGGCCGCTATAATAATATAGAATTAATGTCTATAATTTCTTAATATTATTACCAACATTTATGCATTCGCCGAACGTAACCAGTCAGCCCTTCTCGACGACTATACACGTCGCGACGAGTATACTCGTCGAAGTGACAGCGAACTGGTCATTCACCATTTTCCACAGTTTTCTATATGGAACGCGTAAGTGTCGAACTCCATCGAAGTTGCATTTCCCGTTGAAACTTTGAAATTCCACGTTTCTCTAGATTCGTGCGAGAAGCGAAATCAAACAACGGCGCTTCTCGTAGCGCGTAGCGGCAGCAACGGCAGCAGTTGAAATACTATTTAACGATGAAGCAGCGGCGCGACACGCGGCGCGATGGTTATTGACGAAAGGTTATTAATATTAAACATTCTGTACCGTCTTAGGGGAACGTTGGGTCGCAGGTTCGGGCCGGTGTTTGCCCGTTGATGGGGCAGTTTCGGCAATAACTCGAACTCCGGGCATGCACAATTAAACGCACGGAAAGCGATATCGTTATTTCAGCGGTAAATCAACGCGTTTCTAACCGTTGTCGGTTCTAAACTTTCATGAGCACGTGTAGGTGTTGGACGAGTTTATTGTTCGGCGAATAAACCGTGTTACTGCCGGTAGAATTTTAATGGCCAATCACGCGGACGTCGTTCGTTAGCGGACGCGATAACGCGAATCACTGCTTTGTTCATTACCGATACTTCGCAAGTGTCATATCGAGCCGTAACCAAACGAAATTTAGTAGCTTGTTGTCGGTGGTTCCGGCGCCGCGCCGAGCCGCGCCGCGCCGGCAACCCTTTTCCGTCGATCAAAAAGAAAATCGTTTCGGGCTGCTGACACACAGAGAGCCGCGGCACGGTTCTTTTTTTTCGTTTTTTTTTTTTTCGTTTTACGAGACTTACATTCGTTACGTCGCTTTTCGCACGGCAATATAGCGGATTTTTTTTTTTTTAGCACGATGCACGGCGGACACCGTGTTTGCATTAGCCGCGAATTGCCTCCGACTATTGGATTGCAACATATAGAACGTTTTGTTTGGCATTTCACACGCTGCACAGCCGCTCCGGCATACCGCATCGCGCCAGACTTATAAATAACAGATAAGATTTATATCCGAGATTCCGACGGTCTCCGCGCCGCCGATTGATTTTCTTTTCGCTAGACCGTGAAGTTTTCGGTGCTGCGCTGGAGAACGGAATTAAAAATGCAACGCGCCGATACGGTCCTGATTTTCGCGTGCTAGCTTTTATGAACACTTTTCGCCAACGGTGTGGCAATATTTGTTTTATTAAAATGTTTTCGTTTCTTGTGTAGCGTCTGTTTAATAGCGACTATTATTATTATTACCTATTATTATTATTAT